AATTACATTATGCCACATTTAATCTATTTTATATTGAGACATTTAGACTTTAAAGGAGTATACACACAAAATGTCAAGTTATCAGATACTCACCAGACGAGTATTAAAATGTAATACTTTATATTAGACACTTGAATGAAAAGTATCAGTACTAGTTATAGAAACATGTGAACTAAGTGTACGTTATATTAGACAGATAAATGTGAGCAACTCTGTCCTTGGTTTGAATCAGAAATAATCTACACTTCTATGTACTAGACAATGTAATGTGAACTGCATGTACAAGCACTCTGTACTAGACGGTTCTGCAATTGACAAATGAATTATTACAAAAATGTTCAAAAGGGTGCAATGTATTTCTTTTGAACAAACCAGAATTCTTCTTTTCCCCAAATCAAGTTTAGAAGTTTAGTTTGACATAAAGCAGTCGTTCTGGAGAAGAGGTCTAAAACGTGAAAACTTCCAGAGAGAGAGAGAGAGAGAGCAAGCATCAATCAGAAAAGCTTCATCTAGATATAAAGGTTCATGAGAGTTACTTAAAACTTTTTTTTTATACAGGCAGCATCTATGAATTCAGATCTTGAGCAAATCATATTAAATTGATTTATAAAATATACAAGAGTATACAAGAATTAGCCAATTATTTAAATGACTCAAAACGAAAGAAAAGATGGAATTTGTTTCTTAGAATTTATTCGTACTTCCTAATCATTTTCTTATATTTTATTGGCAAACTTGAAAGTAAATCACATAAGACAATTCGAATTCAAAATATAGACTTTCCAGCACTGCTGTCATAGGGTTGTCGTATGTCATTGATTCAGCTTTCCTTTCATTTTCAATGAAATAGGATTTGAATAATCTACTTACGATTTTTTTTCTGACATCTTACGCCTGAAGAAGAATAAAGTACAAAAGGGGCATCCGATTCCCGCGAAACATTTATTTCCTCGAGGCATGCAAGAGCCACAACGTAATTCAGACCAGGTAGAAAAACCCAATTACATATATATGTATATCTGCATTCGATCCAACTATTATAACTGACTATACATAACCAGTTTATATCAAGAACTCCAAACCCCATCTCAGACAATAGATTTCTTGACAGAAAAATATCAATTACAAAGCCTTTTGTAATGCAGTGCGTAGTAAGCTTGTCAAATAAACTGAAAGTTACGATGGAACTAACTCCTCTTTTGGGGTAGACTTTACTTTACCGGTCCCCAGATCCGCAAGATCCGCGCGCTCATTGCACTATAACGTAAGATTTACGTCACTCAACTGATTAGGGTTGGTTTTGCACATTTTTCGACTGGTTAGGGTTAGTCTTGCACCCACCTGAAAGATTAGGGTTAGTCCTTGCATTAGTTTTCGACTGATTAGGGTTAGTCTCGCATCCATCCGAGAGATTAGGGTTAGTCCTTGCACATGGGTTAGTCTAGCATGGTCTAGCATCCGCCTGGGAGTTATGGGTTAGTCCTCGCATACCATCCGAGAGATTAAGGTTAGTGTCTTGTTCTTTTAGATTAATTAAGAAATTCAATTGCGTCTGTATTTTTTTGGAAGATCTAAATTCAGCTTCAACAACATCTCGTTGGTTTGTTTACATAAAAAAAATGGCTAAGTACAAAACAAACGGCACTAAGCATGCGCCGCACGCGCTTCGTTCACAATTATGTTTTGTCTCCTATTCACTGAATAAACAATATTTTAATTTATTACTTTTTTTTCAGAGAACGAGGTTAAAAACTTCGTTTAAAAACGTAGTTTTAAACTAAACTTTTAACTGTAGAATTCGAATTTGGGGTCCAAAAGGCTTAAAACCTCATATTTTTCATTTTTTTTCGATCGCTCAAGCGATCTCATATATATTGAAGTCGCCTACGGCGACACTATATTTTAGCGCGTTTTTCTGGGAACCGGTAAAGTAAAGTCGTTCCCTCTTTTGTCCTCTCCAGCATCGAGAGGATAGAATACTATCACTGACGACTTGTCTCTTCATAGTAAAAAGGAACGATAGTAGTACAGTATTTCATAATGTCTGTCCTATTATACGCTCAATATATCTTCAATTTAATCATATTAAAAAGAATTGAAAGATTGTTCTGTTAGTAGAAAGAAGGATGGATACAATTCTACCTCTTAAATCAAGATATATTTGTGAAACACTGATGTCACCGTATGACAGCTCATTTTCAAAGTCAAAGTTTCTCAAATGCAATTCAAACTCCAAGGCCAAGAGTCAAACATGTTGGTAGCCAAAGAAAGGTCTTGTCACAAGTACATGTAATACTAGTACACAAGCGAAATATCAAAGCCCTAGCATGAACTGTTTTAAGGTTATGACCAAGGTTAAAGTTTTTCAGAAGTAGAATATATTACAAGGTCAAGGTCATGAAATAAAAAAAAATGTTGGTTTTCAAGGAAAGGTCTTGTCACAAAGAATACACATATGAAATAAAAAAGCCCTAGCATCAACTATTTAAAAGTTATGGCCAAGGTTAAAGTTTTTAAAAACGAAAGTAAAAACAAAAAATTGAAATCTAAAGAAAAGTATTGCCCTAAGAAATACACATGTGAGCATAGCTCTTCAAAAGTTATGGTAAATTTTAAAGTTTTTTTCAAAAGTAAGTCAAACTCCAAGGTCCAGTTAAAAAGGCCATAAATGTTGGAACCCAAGGAAAGATGTTGTCACAAGGAATATACATGTGAAATATGAAAACCCTTGCGCTAACCACAAACTGTTCAAAGTATGGCCAAGTTATGTTAAAGTTTGGTAAAATTTTGCAAAAGTTATGGCCAAGGTTAAAGTTTTTCAAAAGTAGGTCAAAAGTAGGTCGAATTTTAAGGTCAAAAATAATGGTGCCCATGGGAAGATTTTGTGACAAGGAATACACCTGTGGAAAATAAAAGCCCCAGCACCAACCATTCAAATTTTATGGCCATAATTTTTTTCCAAGGTCAAAAAAGGTTAAAACTATTGGTACCTGAGGAAAAGTTTTGTCGAAAAAAAACACTTGTGAAATATGAAAGCCCTAGCATCGACCGTTCAAAAGTTATGACTAAGGTTAAAGTTTTTCAAAAGTGGGTCAAACTCCAAGGTCAAAGGGTCAAAATTGTTGGTACCCTAGAATACGCAGATATAATATAAAAGCCCTAGCTCCAACCTTTCAGAATTTAAAAATGGGTCAAACTCCAAGGTCAAGGTCAAAAATATTTGTACCCAAGGAAAGGACTTATCACAGGAATTACACGTGATGTATAAAAGCCCTAGTAACAACTGTTCAAAAGTTATAGCCAAGGTTAAATGTTAGTAAATTTTTGCTTAAGTTTTGATAATTGTTCTCGCCTTCTCACTCGGCACATTTTTTTACGTTTAGCAAAATAAAAACTTTAATTCAAAATTATATATGGATGTATACGAGTTAACATGTTAACCCAAAAAAGATGCACCACAATTTAATAATGCGTCATGGGCACATACTGATATTTGGTCATCAGGCATTTCACAGAACGATCACACTAAAAAAAAACTATAGTATATACATATAATCAAAACAAAACCGAATACCGTTTGCCCAAATTAAAGCCATTAAAAGAAGATATATTAATAGATGAAAAACAAGATGTGTTTGTGAAACACTGATGCCCCTGCATGGCAACTTATAGCGAAGGTTAAACTTTCTCAAATGCAAATCAAATATGTTGGTACCCAAAGTAAGGTCTTGTCTCGAGGAATATACCTGTGAAATATGAAAAGATGTGAAAATGGTTAAAGTTTTTCAAAAGTAAGTCAAACATCAAGTTCAAAATTAATGATGCCCAAGGAAAGACCTTCTCACAAGAAATACAAATGTCAAATATGAAAACCCTTGCACCATCCGTTCAAAAGACATGGCCAAGGTTAAAGTTTTTCAAAAGTAGGTCAAACACCAAAGTCAAAGGGTCAAAGTTGTGGTATCCAAAGTAAGGTCTTGTTACAAAGAATACACATGTGAATAATGAAAGCCCTAGCACCAACTGTTCGAAAAATTTGGCCATGGTTAAGTTTTCCATGTGAAATATGAAAGCCCTAGAACCAACCGTTCAAAAGTTGTGGCCAAGGTTAAAGTTTTTCAAAAGGAGGTCAAGGTCAAAGGGTCAAAGTTGTTGGTATCCCAAGGAAAGGTTTAGTCACAAGGATTACACATGTGAAATATGAAAGCCCTAGAACCAACTGTTCAAAAGTTGTGGCCCAAGGTTAAAGTTTTTCAAAAGGAGGTCAAGGTCAAAGGGTCAAAGTTGTTGGTATCACAAGGAAAGGCTTAGTCACAAGTATTACACATGTGAAGTATGAAAGCCCTAGCACCAACTGTTCAAATGTTATGGCCAAGGTTAGAGTTGGGTAAAATTTTGTAAAACTGGGTCAAACTCCAAGGTCAAAGGGTCAAATATGATGGTATCCAAAGAAAGGTCTTGCCACAAGGAATACACATATGAAATATGACAGCCATATATAGCTCCAACCAATCAAAAGTTATGAGCAATGTTAAAGTTTTTGCGGACAAACAGATAAACAGACAGACAGACAGACGGTTGGACAGAGCAAAAACTATATACCCCCGAATCTTCGATACGGGGGCATAAAAAGAAAAAACCTATGCTTTGCAAAGTAAAATTAAAAATGAGTCATTCCCCTTTTCAATACTGTGACTATACTTGATTAATGCGGCATTGTTTTACCTGATTCGACAGTGCCTGAGAAACTTTTTTTTGGCTTTGAAACAGAATTTCATTTCTTTCAGTAGAGGAGGTAAATGTCTATTATTAAACCGTCTAACTGTTCTTATTAAGGCTTAATTTTTCTACTTATGGTCAACCAAAATATGAACAATTAACATACATAATTTGAAAGAGAAAGAAACGTGATCTCTCGGGGAATACCACACCGAGACGAAGAAAATACGAATTTTAATCAGATTTTGATTCATCAGGAATATAAATAGATAAGACAGAGCAAATTTTATAATTCATTTATCATTCAAACATTCATATATGGTAATGTTGATGCGATATCAGAAAATAATAACTACTTTAATTACATAAAGTTCTTCTTCATAAAGTGTTTCTTTAAACGTGAATTAAATAAGACATGACGAATTCTTTACTTCAAGATTTTGAAAATATTAATAGAGAAACCGTGTTGCATTCTACAATTTACGTTATTATGTTAATAATGAGGATAAATTTTAAAATAACTTTGAAGAAATGAATGCAAATTGAATGATTTTTTGTATATTTATGATAATAAAATGGCACTTCTTTCTGCATTTGTGGTAGGTATACATGACACACATGCGCAGTTTTCTCCCCGAAAAGTTATTCCACATCTTCTATATCACATGTACACGTCGGCTTGATACAGTGAACACCATGCTGTAAAGGTCACCATATTCTGTTTGATTTTAATAAGGAAAATTCTTTGAAAATATATATGTATAAAAGATCAAGCAGTCTCCTCTGGCTATTAACAGCATTTATCACAAGGCCCCTTCTCTCCTGTCTTTACACATTTGGGAAATCGGAACACTTGTGGTCTTTGTAACATTCCCAGAATGCAGCGTGCTTGATTTTAACATTGACTAAATCCTTACATTGCCTTGGAGGTTTGAGGTACTGTTTTTTGCTTCCCTTGACGTATTTTGGATGCGTAGTATAGAGAGGAATGTAATCCTGGTCACAGCCAAATCCTGAAAATATGAGACAATGATCATTATAAAAAGTCGACAATTAAAGTCTGTCCATTGTCAAGAAGAGAGCACGGTTTGTAAAAGATTCAATGTTGGAACACATATTACTAAAACAGACATATATACAAAATGTTATTAAAAAGTTACAGACCTTAAACATTGTGTGCCGAATAAAAAGAATTTTGAATTCACAAATATATCTTTTTTAACCTTCTTTTGAATGTTGCAATATACATGTATACATTTTAACATATTATTGATAAATTTAGGACGTTTTAGAAAACATCCGTAGGGTAGAGTATCCAGTAATATCTATTTAACAACGTGATGTGCCCAAAGAAATTTTAATTTCAAAGGCTTTTCACAGAAAGGCACTGAAAAAAACCTCCTGCAAACACTGATAGTTTGCTCAACTTGACATAATTCAGTTTTTGTTTTTATTTATAGCATGTTTTGTATATTTCTCCAAATATTTTACAACAATGTTTTAAAACAAGAATCTTAATTTGCTTGTGATATTTGTACTAAAGCTTTAAACGGAGGACATGTACAGACATTTACCACCCATTGCAGAACATTTTACATGCAGCACATTTAAAGCATCCATATATTAAGTTCTTTGAATAATTTTTTTTAGTTTCAGTTCTCTTACAACTCAATCTAATATTATTCCAACATGTGACAAATACGGATGAATCGGCAAATATGAATTTGCATTAAATAAATCTGAAATGACGACATATAGAAGTAAATTGTTTATAGCTTTCATTCTCGAAATAATTATATAAATCAGATAAAACACATCAAGGTGGTTTGAGCCTTTGCAAAGGGAGCTAATTCACTAATCAATTACTTTTATTTTTATCGTCAACGATGATTTATGCACAATTTTGCCCCCCCCCCCCCCCGGTGTGGTATACTAAATTTTGTTCCATGTAGTATACTAAAATTTGCCCCATGTAGTATACTAAATCTTGACCCGTGTAGTACTGAGTATACTAAATTTTGTCGAATTTCCTTTTTATTTCTATGTTCTGCTATGTAACTTGTCATAGGAAAATCATTCTCCATACGTGTCCTGTCAGTCATTAAAAAATATTTTGAAATAAGTAAAATAAACCTTGGACTTCATGCATTTAGTTTAAAATAATCTTACCTTATACGTAACATATCTTCAAACCGATTAGAACTCTCTTCGCTAGCATTGCTTTTTAAGTAACGAAATGTGCCACAGGCTGAAGCTGGTATACTATTGAACATAATAAGGCGATCCCAAAACCAAACATGGAGTTGTGAAAAGCATCTTCGACAACTTTTAGCGAATAATGATTATACATATATATATATATTGCTCGCAGTTGAAGCAGACGAAGAACCTGAGTTAGTAGTTAGATAGACACAGTTAAAATAGTTCTCTCTCTCTTTCTTTGAAATAATATTCTTTTTCAACAGCATATAAGGATCACAAAATAATAACCCCCACAGATTTGTGCAGGCTTGAAAAATACACATAGAAATTGTTAACATTTTAATTGAATAATGTCGTAATAGTATATGAATGTTACTCTAACAGTTTAATGATATAAGAGACACACTTCTAGAAAATACATTGATCAAACTTCAGATGAACAATTAATGTCAAAATAACACCGCCAAAATGCATCCCTTTCAGCTTTCACGATTTCATTTTGAACACACTTCGCCCGCGGAGTCGGAAGTTTGACGTCATTCATGTTCACTGAAGTGTTTTTAGCCAACATTTCGCCAACTTTATAATCAGGAAGATATCGTTTGTAACAAGTATTTCCTACAGAAATAGATTTTGATATGCATATCTGTGCACACATACAATGTATGTTTGTTGTTAAATACCTTAATTTACTAATGTATATTTAGCTATTGATAAATCTTATCTAGAAATATTGATTAGTAAGGCATGGATAAAACATCTGTATAATTCTTTGTACATGTAAGCAGGTGCACTTTCAACAGACAGGCTGCGCTGACACGGACAAGAATTCATGCATAGTTCAAAACCCGTGTATTAAAATGGTTTATCAAAGTTTAACTTGAAGGAATAACTATTAGCTTTTCACAAAATAAATGAATTTTTGAATAAATATAAATGCATAAGAATAATTTGGAAATTTTATATAATAACACTAAATGACTCCCTATAACTTACCTATTGAACACGGGCAGAGATCGTCGCATCGATCACCAAGACCCGGGGTGCGGACCCAACATTTTCCTGCAGCTGTAATCAATATATTTATAGACTCGGTGAAAGTTTTGCAATGTAATTCAATCATTATTTCAAAAAGAAAATAATGTTAATCAACAAACAACAAAACTCCGTAAAGAGCATAAGCAAATATATACATCTGTGGTATCTCTCTATTATATAAACATACAGAGAGCAAATATCTTCATACCTGTATGAAGTTTTTCGAAAGTCATAGGTCATTACGTGACCTAATCACACAGCGCAGTAATATCTACATAAGAAGACTTACTCTCCTTAGCAATATAGCATGTTTTTCATGCATAAAAATGTACAAAATACCCAAGTAAAATAATAATCATTTTATTTACAATGTAAACGAGTTTACTAATTAATACAGTTCTTGATCGATTTTACATAGAGAAAAGAAAACTACGTGTTATAAATTTCATGTCTGAGCTGCAAAGTCTCAACGTTTACCCTTATTTTTCTTGTAGACCTCTGAATGCTATTTTTTTTTTTCATTAAACTTTACTCACAATAAATTTGAAAATCTGTTGGAAAATATCAATGTAATGCAATCACGCCACAAACAGCTGACAAACACTGCACTTCGGAAGTTCGGTAGGCACACCTCCATCATCGAGATCGTTGTCTTAACATGCTTAACAATGTAAGCTGTCGCCTGTGTCTCCGTGTCAACATCATAATAAATATGCCTTATTTTAATCGTAGATTTTATGTTTCTGATCAAATTTTAAACTTGATTCCAAATTAACTGGTCCTTACAAGTGTCTCCATCTATCCCTTTCCGACCGAAATTCCTCCAACTTTTTATTATCAAACATCGGACGTGTTTCTTGTGTTTTTTTAAGCATCGAATATGGGTTCTCAAGAATACAAAAATTCCCAGACACCAATATGCTCACTATAATTGATCACAAGTAGTCTTTCACAGAATATTCCCTTCAAAACAGAATCCTTTGCCAGATGAATTTGAAGCGTAACCGCTTTTCAAGCCGATTTACACCTTGCGTAATTTGTCAAAATCTACGACGAACAGTTAGTACAATATTTATATTCGATTATATTCGATTGTCCGTCTCAAATGTATATATAAGTAATAAATAACAAGTTTAAAAACTTCATTGGGAAATGAAGTGGGTCGGTACGTGATCAAATCTTCGGAGAAGGCCTTCGGCCTTCACAGGATTTGATCACGTGACCGACCCACTTCATTTCCCAGAGAAGTTTTTAAACTTGTTATTTATTTCTTAAATGTATTTTTTTTTATTTTTTGAGCCTAATATCATATTGTATACGGTTTGAAAGCATTCATTGACAAGTGAAATAAGATTGCGTACAAACTTACTTTGATACGGACTTTTACTGTTCGGACCATATGTTTCCATGTCCAGTAGCTGACCATCAGGTCCGTAGCAGCAGCCCACCTTACATTCAAGAGTGGTGTAACAGAGACTTCCCTCACCCATCACGGTAGAGGACATGGGGGGAGCAGGTGTGGTTGGAGCTGGACAAAAGTAAAAAGCGAAGGTTAAAATAAGAATATTAACATATTACATTTTAACACCAGGAAGGAAACAATGAAGGATTTTTTACCTTGAGGACAATTACAATACTTTTTTTCGAATTCTTACACTTGGTTGCAAAATTAGTCTACTTATTTCCAAGTAAAAAGAACATAAATACTACAGAAATTGGGCCTAGTAGACTTATATAATGCGTGTCTCACGTATAGAGAAATTCAGGACATTTTAATATACTTTCAACTTAACAGAACAAACATAGCTAGGTGTACCCCCCCCCCCCTTTCCGTTTTCCGAATTGTACCATTATTTCTCTCAAATGGATAATCAGAGGTATAAAATCAATAAACCAGGTGTTGTATAAAAGTAATACATGTACATGTACACAGAAGTATTAGTATAGACAAAATTTAGTTGTCGTAAATGAAGTGAAAAAATAAAATATAATACAAATACATGTGCGTAAATAAATGTGATAAAAGTGGTAACACAAGAGCAAAGAAGTGAAAAAAAAGCCGAGTGTGCAAATAGACCAGTCAACGTTAGTTTCTCTGGTATTAATTCAAAACATTGTGTTTTAGTAATTATTATGTTAACAGTCGTTATATGAAAAAGCTGCCCGCAGTGTCCATTTCGTTAACACAATAAAGCTCTGTGCGTATTTAACCTGGGGTTGGAGGCACATATGCGGGCGTAGTAGGCTGGTAAATTATAGGAGCTGTGGTCCAGGGCGCTTGAGGAGCAGGGGTTGTAATAGGATCGGGTCTACCAGCAAAAATAGGCTTAACAGGAGCAGCTGGTATATTCTGGACATTAGACGGAACAACGCCTTGTCCTGGTTTGCCAACAAAAGGCAGCTGCTGAACACCTCGATAAGGTGGTTGTTGTTGTTGAACACCTGGTTGCTGGGGTTGGTAAACCTGTTGTTGTTGTTGCTGTTGTCCAGGTTGTTGATTTTGTAGATAATCAGCAAATGAAGCGCTTGATTGAGTAGTTGTTCCTAACTGTAATGTTTCTGGTAGACCACCGGGCATTTGTTGATTGCCCTGTGACTGTTGCGGCGGGTATACTCCTTAAATTTTTCAAATTAATTGATTTTCATTTTGAAGTTTGTCTCCTTTAAAGTTACAAAGTATGTATTTAAACCTATAGAGCAATGTCATAAATTTGTCATAAGATACATTTTTTTAAAAAACATTTATGATACTTGTTTTATTTTTGCGTACTAAATCCTACCTTGCTGTGGAGGCTGCCACTGATTTTGCCCCTGTGGTTGCTGCCACTGATTTTGTGGATCAGGCTGGACTTGCTGTTGTTGTTGTTGTGGTTGTTGTTGATTTTGGGGTTGATACCACTGGTTTTGCGGGGTTTGTTGCTGAGATTGTTGGTTATTCTGAGGTTGTTGAGGAGGTTGTAAGTTATTCTGGTATTGCTGTTGGGGTACAGGTCCTTGCTGATACCACTGCTGCTGCTGTTGCTGCTGGGGCTGAACCTGAGGTTCTTGCTGTTGAGGTTGTGGCCACTGCTGTTGTTGTTGTTGTTGTTGAGCTTGTTGACCGAGTGAATTCACTTGAGGTTGAACATTTTGTGGGGGCTGATACCATTGGTTTGACTGAGGTTGTTGTTGTGGACCTTGATTCTGTGCTGGATATTGGGGTTCTTGATTTTGAACAGTTCCTTGATTCCAGCCTTGTTGCTGACCTGTAGGTTGCTGCTGTTGTGGTGGTTGATAAACCTGTTGTGAAGTTTGCTGATTAGGGTTCCACTGAGGTTGAACTGGTTCTGGTTGTGTTCCTTGCTGGGATGTTTGACCATTCCATTGTTGTTGCTGCTGCTGTTGTTGTTGTTGCCAAGATGGCTGTCCTTGTTGTTGAGGCTGTTGTTGTGGGTATATTTGTTGGGGTTCTTGTGGTTGTGGCTGGTATTGTTGCTGTGGTTCTTGTGGTTGTGGCTGGTATTGTTGCTGTGGTTCTTGTGGCTGGTATTGTTGCTGTGGTTCTTGCTGTTGTTGATAGGGCGATTGTGCTGCTGGTTGTTGCTGTTGAAATTGTTGTTGTGGGTCAGGTTGCTGTTGTTGCTGCTGTTGTTGCTGATACTGCCAGCCACGTTGTTGTTGTGGATTTGAACCAACTGTCTGTGGATATTGTACATTGCTAAATTGCTGATTTGGGGGATATTGTTGTTGTTGTTGTTGTTGTTGTTGGCTTTGCTGCGATTTTTGTGTTGGTCGATCTGGTCCAAATACAAATGGTTGACTCTACAGAACAAGTAATTAATTCAAAACAATATTAGGTGCCACACTAGATCTAATTATTTGTCAAATTCAGCCAATATATTAAGTAAATAATACAGTGTCATTCGGACCTAATATCGCGTTACGTTTTGGACGCAATATTTAAAGACACTTCTTACATTCATTTTATTAATATTATGATAGTAATAGTTGAAAATTTACCATTATTCAGACAAAACTTGATAAGATATACTACCTGTGACTGACTAAGTTGGTTCTGGGAGGTTTGTTGGACAGTTTGGGGAATCTGTACTGTTTGAGGTCTCTTCACAGTTTGAGGCCTCTGTACTGTCTGTGGCATCTGTATAGTTTTTTGTGTGCCGCCTCTGACCGACGGTCGCTTCCAAGTATTTGACGATTTAAACGAAAAGGACTTAACCCCTCCACCAGCAGTAAATTTTTGCTGAAAACGAAATGCATAAACGATTCATGACATTCTGCCTATGAGAAGAGAGGTAAAACCATTGTTTTACTCTACTGTTGCGGGATTTAAGGTAATAAAACATTGACAAATGGTCTCTTTATCTCTGTTACATGAAATGTTAGGCAACAGATAACTTAAAGTTTTTTACGATGTAAACCAAACCAATTTCTGCATAAATTCGTAACATATGCATGACTTTCCTCATCAGACTTTAACATTGGATCTATTGGATTGAATCGCAATGGATATGAAAAGATTATAAAAAATTTCACAGGACAACATTTCTGATGGCTTGTGCCATGATGTCTTATCCTATACATAATGTAAACGAAATGTGCAAGGCATTACCAATGAAAAATTCATTTCATTATTTTACAATAAAACGTTATTATGTATTGTGCCAATTTTGAATAGCATATCATCTAATCAGAAAATGACTTCATTATCGTATAATAATGGATTTCAGTTTTTGGCATAATGACAGTCGCATGCAATTAAAATTCAACAAAAAGATTGATCGTTCATTCATGGGTCATTGTGTTCACAAACTTGTACATATACATACTGTATGATGGACATATCTGGACACTCCCTTGTACATGTATATTTTAATATTTATCAAATACTTTATATTGAAGAATTTGGTCCTTGTGATGGAGAGAGAGAGAGAGAGAAAGTCTATACAAGTGGTTTACATGTATGTTTGAAGTTAACATCAAAATGCCACAAATTGCAACAATATGATTAAGTTTCTTTAAAAATGGTCAAAGAGGCAGTTAATTTGAATGAATTACTTATAAAACAAAACCTTTTGAAATAGAAATGAGAGTACTTCCGTTCAAATGAATATTAATGTAGATTTTAAGTATAAAGAGTTACTCTCAACGGTATAGGTAACAGGTGTACAAACAAGCTCAATAAGAAATGATCGGATAATACATGATGTCTGAAAATGATTTTATTTTATAGATAGAAGTTGTCTGTATGATGATTATTTTTCTATAAACTGACAATAGGAAAAAAAATCTGTACTCGGAATGTAAGGAATTGATCTTAAACATATTAACTACTAATAATTCATCTTGAAGTGCGCAGTGCTTTGCACGAACATGTCAAAACGAATCATAGATAATTCGTGTCCTGTCTTTGGCAGAAGCTTTCAATTTGATAAATTATGTACGCACATTTGGAATTTAGATACGGTGCGTTCTGGAATAGGCACGTCACACAAACGATCACGCACGTTACAAGAACGATTTTACACAATTAGTTTGTCAACAATAAATAACATTGCAGTCACTGTAAGCACTTATAAACAATATACTGAGTACATTTACAGGCACGTCACATGAACGATCACACAGATTACGTAAACTATTTTACACGAATAACGTTGGAGTCACTATGCTCACTTATCAATTTGCATACAGTATTGCACATGGACAGGAGACGTACGCGTGTCTAAAAATCAAAAATTAATAAAATCCATCTATTTGGAATTGTTTCAATATTTTACAGTGCATTTCAATTCGATACCTTAACTTTCCTCGAACTTGGATAAACATAACCAATTGAAAATCTAACCATAAATTTTTTTAAATCTTCTAAAATAGAAATAAATACAGGCCCGTAGCAACAATTTCAAAGAGGGGGGATTTCCCCCAAAGAATCTGACAAGCCAAAAAAAAAAAGAAAAGAAAAGAAAAAAAAAAGTGCTCGACCTTACAACAGCAAAAAATGGGGGGGGGACCAGATTTACTATAGCAAAATACTATTTTCAGAAAAAGTGGGGACCCCCCCCCCCCCCCCGCGTTCTACGGGCCTGAAATACCATCTTTAAATATTATAGGTCACGTGTTTTTTGTTGAATAACTTAGCAATAACGAAACACGCAGTGACACAGAATATTGATTTAATAATATGTTTTTCATAATAGACAGGTAGATCCATACTAATTGAATCTGTGTCAGGTTTGATGCGCTCATCTGTCACTTTATGATATAAAACCAATCATGTTTAGATTGATTTATTAATTCTTCACATAAATCTCAGAAAAGATTTATTTATATTTTTATAAACTCATTGCATAAGTATAGAGAATGTTAAGATGACAATTAAAAAAACCCCAGATATAACAATGAATGTTTTTATTTTGTATATTTAAGTGCAAATTATACAAACTTTTTTTTATTACTATTTATTGAGGATTATGTCATTATGTTTTAAATTAGAAAGCTTGAAATGAAACTCGCAAAATTACTAGAAACTGGCTCACAATAAATATTCTCTACATCGCGTGTTTAAACAGTGTACATGTAGTTCAAAAGAGTACAAACATATCCAGGGAATGAGCTTAATAGTCTTATTATATGCATTAATACATTATTTTCAAAAAAGGGGTAGATCATAAACTAATTGGGGAGTAAAAGTCTGAAGTTTTGTCTTCCAACAATATGAACTATATATGATGGATCAAATTGCATAATGTTTGCTGACATTCAAATTGATTCTCATACAGAGCAAGAAACTAATTGAATTTAAGGAGAGAAAATTGTATCATTTGATTTATTAATTGTCTGATTGGTTCAAGCTCAGATAAAACAATCATTAGTTCTTCAGGGGGTGGTTCTACCCTAACAAAACTACTATAGTTAACTATAGTAAATCAAAATTTTCAAAGTGATAACTATAGTGTCATAGTGATCACTATAGTAAATCAAAGTTTTCAAAGTGATCACTATAGTGTCATAGTGATCACTATAGTCACTATAGTGTCATAGTGATCACTATAGTAAATCAAAGTTTTTAAAGTTATCACAGTGACTATAGTAAATCAAAGTGTCAAAGTTATCACAATAGTTAACTATAGTTTTCATAGTGCCAAAGTTATCACTATAGTTAACTATAGTTTTCATAGTGCCAAAGTTATCACTATAGTTAACTATAGTTTTCATAGTCCCAAAGTTATCACTATAGTTAACTATAGTATTTTTTTGTTAGGGTAGGATTTGATGTGGTAAAGGGGGAAAGGGGGTGGTAGGGAGAAGGCCAATGAAAATTTCTGGTTTTGAACTTTTAGGACAAATCTGAAATTTGCTAGTTTACAAAATAAATATACTAATTTATAGGTTTTTCTTGAAACTATGAATTTTCAGTGAAAAGGATGATTTATTTTTTTTTCTTTTAACAGGACCTACAACTGATACTCACAGAACTCCTTTCTGTTTTATTGGTTTTTTTTAAGGGAAACGAACGTCTTAGTGCATTAATGCATATAATTATCAATTTCTTTGTTCATGCACATATAAAAAATGTTCAATAGCTAAGATTTTTGCACAAATTCTACAATTTTTTTGAAATTTTAAACGGTTAATTATACGTTTTTTACTTATAGGTATTTTTATGCAGTAACTTCTAGGTACATCACACACCCACTCCCTATCTATTTAACTAAATATTCATTTCATTTTTATTATCATTATTAGGGGGGGGGGGGGGAGTATTCACTGAACGACATTTTCATTTCATGAAGAGAATCCTCGACTCAAAAAGTTTATAATTTTTCTGTACAGTGAATTATTATTTATACATAAATCAATCATGGATTATTCTACGTAACTTTTAAATGTTATTCAGTAGGTATTATATAAAAAGCTATTTCATAATTGTACATCACGATTCTCGACATTTTAATTAATTTCGGTTTGACAGTCTTAAAATTACGTACATGAAATGCATTAATTTAGCGTCTATCTACCGGATGAACGAAGCCTATGTTTGTTCACGCGCTGCTATTTTTCATCGTTTTAATTATGGAAATAAATTATTCACTGTACACCTTCAAACCGCGGAGTAGTGTATCAGGTAGACACTTCGGTGCAAAGGGTTTGATCGTAGTATAAAGTTCAATAAAGAGATTATTGAAATATATATTTTCATGTACAATAAAAATCCAATTGTACAGAAGGTTAATTTACTGTGACAAGTAGAGAAACTGTGGTCACACACGGAGACTAACACGAACATTTCCGTGTACGACAAGGTAACGAGCATTAAAGGCGAGATCCTTGCTTGTCATAATAAGAATAGCATTTCCATATAGAAATAATTATTTATCGTAAATGAAGTTTACGCATTAATGACATTTCACATTGGAGTAAATTATTCATAAATTTCCTCGACTTAAATTGAAAGTTATTATTAAAAGAAAATCTTGGAGCTTAGAAAAGTTTGCTTGCAAGATACATTTTTAAAAAAAAATTTTTTTTACCATTTCTTTAATATTTACCAAATGTTATTTTTAGAACATTTTAAGTGAAGACAAATAAAATATCAAAGAAAGTAAAAACTCATCAGAATCCATTTCCGAATTCCTACCAAATCCAAATAGAATCCAAAATCCAGATAAAATAATTAATTAAAAAAAATTTAAATCCATATCCAACGGTTGAGAATATAAATTATAATATTTACCCCATTGACAGAAGAGAGGCAAACATTCATCGAAAGTAAAAGAGTCAAAGAAAGTCTTAAAACCCTGCGTCGCTCCATAATCTTGTGTCCTGTCCGCTGTTATCCCTGTACACTAATCCAGCTAGAGTGAGACAATTACCTGTATACTTCTGAGCGTGAGTGGAATGGTAAGAAGATGAAATTGTTAATTTCTGGCAGGTCACGTGACTGAAATATGACAAGATCATTTGTGAACATTATACATTGTAATCTTATTGTCAGTACTTAAAACTATGGAAATGCAAATAAGCAAATAAGATTGTTTATACATGATTGGGGACTTTCTTATCAAGTATTTAAAATTGTTTTTGAAATATAAATCAGATCTTGACAATTATGCTTCTTTCCGATATATATGTCATAGCATGTGAAAAACAAAACACCAATATCATTAGGGCGTAAACATCTTGACATTAAAATAGCACGAATTAAAATAGTTTGTTCACCTCACTGTTTCACATTTAGTCGCCCAGTGATGCCCATGTCTGCAAATTCGTAATAATGAACAGAATTTTAAATCAGCATTTATAATGGAGTTAAGAAAAAGACTACCAAACAGTATATTTAAAAGAAAAATACGTTCAAATTTCGAGATGATAATAAAATTGAAAAATAAGCCCCCTGAGTCGACTTGAAATATCCTGTGAAATGCGTTTATTAAGAGACTGTCCCACAATTTCAACAAAAGAATTTTCAGAAATCCTTACCTAGTTTAATGAGTTGTCTACAATTTGTCTACAATTTTCAATAATAAAAATAGAAGTAAGTCAGATTGATTTATCTAACAGTAAAGCTGTCACAACCTCTTAGTTATCAACAAAAAAACATACTGAAGCCTTGGTCTCAAAAACTGTTTTTCGCTATGACAAGTTGTCTTTGAATAAGGAAGTCTTTTTAATGTTTTAAGAACAAAAAATCCATTTTTAACAGTTTAATTTAAGATAAATTTCTCTCTCATGAAAACATGATATGCCTCTCTGTATATCTGGATGTCCTCTAATCTGGATAAAGTTGTATTAACAGGTAACTCTTGTCAATACTGATACATCAACAACTAGGGCCATATAGTACCGAAAGAATTCATTATAAAAAGACACATTTACATTGTTGGATAGATAGTATTTGTAACAGAACCGAAATACTCCAAGAATTGATTTATTGGTGGATGGAAACAGCCATTTACTTGGGTAGATTTTCCTGTAAATATTAATTCATATGATCCCATATTCCTATTGTGCTGTTTTAAACATAATGTGGGTCTTTAACGAATTCACAATTTTCAATTGTTAATGAGCACATGACTAATCAGTCATGTACTCCTAAAAAACTGAAAATTGTAAATTACTGAAAGACAAAAGGAATGATATTTCAAAACGAAACTCATATATTTTTTCCCTTTGATATTCAATTCGCAAGAAAAAAATTAGACAGCAGAGATTACCGGGGTATATAAAAGAAAAGATGTAAACAAATCAAGAAAAAAAGATAACAAGCATACAAACAAAAATACCGCCAAGTATGGCGTGTAAAACGTTGCTTTATTCGATAATCTTGTGATGTATATTCAAAATCTTGTGATGTATGTTCAAAATCTTGTGATGTATATTCAAAATCTTGTGATGTATGTTCAAAATCTTGTGATGTATATTCAAAATCTTGTGATGTATGTTCAAAATCTTGTGATGTGTATTCAATATCTTGTTATGTATATTCAAAATCTTGTGATGTATGTGCTATATCTTGTTATGTATATTCAAAATCTTGTGATGTATGTTCTATAATCTTGTGATGTATATGCAATATCTTGTTATGTATATTCAAAATCTTGTGATGTATGTTCTATAATCTTGTGATGTATGTTCAAAATCTTGTGATGTGTATTCAAAATCTTGTGATGTATGTTCTATAATCTTGTGATGTATGTTCAAAATCTTGTGATGTATATTCAAAATCTTGTGATGTATGTTCAATAATCTTGTGATGTATGTGCAATATCTTGTGATGTATATTCAAAATCTTGTGATGTATATTCGATAATCTTGTGATGTATGTTCAATATCTTGTGATGTATATGCAAAATCTTGTGATGTATGTTCTATAATCTTGTGATGTATATTCGATAATCTTGTGATGTATATGCAATAAACTTGTGATGTATGTGCAATAATTGCATTTTGGGTAATATGACGCAATAGTGTTTTAGTAAAGTGAGGACAATTTTCATTGGTTGGAAATAACGAAAGTAGCGAGGTGATGCATACATAGATCAACTGGACTTTCATTTCTTTCGATTTGGTCGCCAAAATATTGCCGACTCGGCGTTCAACAATAATTATCAATCAGTTTTTCGTTTTGATAGAAAGAAAAGAGACATAAGATATGGATTATATATGCAAGTATATCAGTGAGGAAGATATATAAATGTTATTAACATGATAAATAGAGTGAAGTCTTCAATTCATCGAAAATCTTATTTCTAAAGGAAAACGATAGCTGTTCATCAAGTTTTTTCTTCTCCTGTAAAAGAGCTGATCGGTAGTCTATAGTGATAATGAAAACACAAAAAAAGATTATCTTCTTGTCATATTAAACAGGGTGATTACTTCCAGCATAATTTTATATTTGGAATATACTCATGATAAATTTGAAGAGTAAATATACATGTAGAAGTTTAAGGCTTATCTAATTACAATGTCAACTACACTCTATCTTTTGTATGTTTTTTTTCAGTTCGCAGCTACTGTACACATCACCGTCATATGATTTTCTCAGTGTATTACACATGTAGTGAGACAGCTGATTAGGTTTGACATGAGATATGGTGATTGGTCACCTACAATCATGATTGCTAAAACTAATGACTAAATTGATGCAACCCAATGCTTAACCTATGTGATCTAAACTTATCTCACAGATTTTTGGTATGCCTTCCTGTCATTTTTAAATATACAATGTACATGCATGCTTTACATGGAGAGTTGTAACTTGTTTGAGGAAGTCAGATAAAACCCCCGTTTTTTCCCTGTCAATTGAAAAGCAAAATATCACTGTCTAAATCTTCTGCAGAGTTGTATCAGCTACAGCCTCAATAGATGCTACTAAAATGACACAAGACATTCCATCACATATAGATATGCTTGCAATGGCTTACATCTCTTACATAAATCATCATACTGTGAAGGCTTTCACTTGTGTTTAACTCCAATTGGCTTCATAACACTTTGCTCAAAGCTAATATATCCTGGCTCAACATCAGATGTTTGTCATAGTCCTACATAGTGAGGTTCAAATTCTAAAAAAAAAATCAGTGCAGGAGTCCTTAATTATCTTACATGTATCTGATGAAAGATTCATCATTCACTGAATCAGGACTGTGTCTAAATATACCTGCTTTTCTTTTATTCAGAGGTCAGTTCACTTAACTAGAGGCTGCATTGTGCTTTAAAATTGCCAGTGCACAACATCACTGCCACATGCCAATGAAAGGATCAAAAACTGAAATACTTCATTTTTGGTTTACTTTCACAGATATTTCAACTATGTTCATCTTGTTAACTTGCAAGTCCCTCTTTTGAAAGAAGTAGCATAATTTAACTTCAATATTATCCTTTTGTCACCTGTTCAACTATCATATACATGTACTTAAGTCTATGTTCTCCCAATGTTTCTGATGGAAGTTTTGTATTTTGTAGATTCGTTAAGAGTGAAATTGATCACTTTATGTGTTTTAAAAAATTCTTACACTCATCAGGTCGCCTGCGTGGCGCAGTGGTTAGAGCATCTGCTCTAGAGTCCTGAAGTAAGAAGTTGATCCTTATATGTCATGGGTTCGAATCCCACTGTGGGACGTGGAGACCGGTCCTTTGGATGAGACCGTACAAACCGAGGTCCTGTGTCACAGAAGGTGCTGGTATGAAAAAGATCCCTCCCTGCTCAATGGCCCTAAGTGCCGAGCATAGGACAAAATTTGCAGCTCTCCATTGGCAAGTGGTGGAACCTCCATATGAGTGAAAAATACTCGAGAGGGACATTAAACAACATACAAACAAACACACTTCTCAGTTGGACAGCAATCAATGGCAATGAGTACTTCACTTATTCCTTTGACAATATAAGTATTTTAAATACACATGTTACTTGTTGCAATATTTAAATGATCATGTTTTACAAATGAATGATCAAAAATTAGACATTATGCAGAAAGTGTATTTTTACATGTCACTGAACTACACGTGTATGGAATTCACTACCAAATTTTTGTATGTCCATGCACTAAAAAGGTACTGAATTGAAATTTTATTTTATTTTATTTTTTTTATTTTTTTTTTTTTTTACAAAATCTCCTTCACTTTATTTATCTCAGATTTACATTGTCATATCAATTACTGAACATTACAGAGACCAACATAGTTTGTCAAAGTTTCTAGTTTTCTCTTGGTGCTGGAATAAAGGCACTGTAGTAAAAATTTATAGCAGTGCAATATTTTTAGTACATTCCTTATCCTACCAGGGTCCCAACCAAAAAGATGCAACATGTCTTGTTACACATGTGTTGACCTTGAATCTGGTGGTAGTAGGCAAGGTCAGTTTTCAGATGTAAAGAATCTTCCTCGTATTCTGAAATATGAAAATATAATTAAAATTTATGTAAACTAAGGTAAATTTTTTACAGATAAATTTCGCCAAGTAGTTGGTGATAGCCCAAAGGAGCACTGGAGTAATAAACCTTTTCATGATATTATAAACAATAACGTACCTAAGTATAAGTTTTTCAGATAATGGACTGCATCTTCAGCTGTTAATAATGCAGCAGAGTAGGTACACTTGACTTTCACAAACTTGGAAATTGCTGTCCTAGCATACAGAGTCTGGTAAGATACTTCATAGAGAGGAGGATGCAGAACTAAATTATGTGAAACACCTTAAGCACCAAATCAATTCATCGAGCCAAATTCCTGAAAAGTAAACCAAAATATTTCAATCATTGAAAACTAAAACCATGTCCATAGTACATGAATGCCCTGCCCAGTGTTCATTGTAATGCAACATGAAAAAAAAAGTGCTTTGCTTCTTTGTTAAAGATTAGGTAAATGAGAGATATTAAGGTCAAGGTCACAGTGAAAGTTAAGTCAGAAAGATGTGACACAGTTGAATAGCTGTGACCAATTTGTGTTAGTGAATGAGGTTTAAAGAAAATCTTGAGAATAGTTTCTTTCAAACTAATATTAAAACAAGACTATTAGTAAAGTCAAAATGTCATGGGGAAGGACAAGGTAAAAAATAAAGGACAGGGTTGATAAGTTTTCACAATAAGTTTTATTGTATGTGATAAAGATAAAAATATCTTTAATGGTTTCTTTTAAATTGAGTTTAAAATAGTAAGGTCAAAAAGAGGGTAAAAAAACAGCTAGTCTGCAATTAATTAGTTTTTGCATAAATAAAACAGTTTTATCTGATTTAATTCATTGATTTTTTCATAAACATTTAAATATATAACATTACACTAAAATTTAAATTTCATTGCATTAAATTGTTTTTACATGGCTACACATACTTTTTCTACACAAGTTCAGACACCCATTTGCAGATGTGCACATGCATTACCTTTTTTACTTAAAATTAAGCACAGCTTCAAAGTTGGAGATAGTTATCCTTTGTGTCCTTGTTACTTCCCCCATAAGATTTGTTCAATACCCTTTTGGTGCCTCTGCAGTATTTGGACAGAATCATTGCATAGCATAACCAGACAAATGGAGCATCTGCTTCAGTACATTTCAGACAAGTCAAGGATCCTCTGTCATAGGAGCAAGAGGGATCTGGTGCTCATATGACTCTGGCTGCTGAATCCAATCCATAGCTGAAAATATTAAAAACATTTAGTTGATGATGCCAGTTAATATTTTAACTCTATAATCTGTGGTTCATAATTTAAAAAAAGTATATAAATTGGGAATGTTTGCAAATTAATGGTTCTAATGTGTTACTTTTCATTCAAAAAAAAAAATCTTACATAGTTCCATGCAAAACTTTGATCCCCTGTTATGGACCAACCCTACCCCTAGAGGCAACAAGTTATTAAAACAGATTAGAATCTACACTACCTCAGGAAGCTTTCTATAAAGTTTCATTTTTTTCCTAGTAAGTTGTTCTGTAGAAGAAGATTTTTAAAGACTTTTATCCCCAATTTAAAGGCCCCATCTTACCCTCCAGGGGTCATGATTTGTACAGTTTAGAAATTTCAAAACCTCATCACAATACATGAGATGCTTAGTTAAGCTTTCAGGTCAGGTGAGCTAAAAAAAATAAATCATTCATACAATGTTCCATATTTTAACAATAAACCTGACAAGCCTTGCCAATATCTTTCTAAGGAAAATCCTGTAATTATTATCAAATGGCATATCTAATGCTCTTTTATTTTAATTTAAAATATACAGAATAATATAATTAGAGTGTTTCAAAGAAGTGTAACCTTCCCTATATTGCATCATTAAAAGTGTAAATAATCTTAAGAGTGGTCAGCTATTTATTTCCTACTAGCATTATAGTTCTTACTGCCTGCTAAGAAAAAAAAAACATCCATGAATAGTAAAGTGTGTAAGACTTTGATAGAAATATATGAGTACATGTATTTAAATTTCAATGTGTGTGGTAACTGTACATAATCCAGCAAGTACAGTGTCATGAGCTCATAAACATGTATAAATGCTAATTAATTATCGATACCCTACCTCTCAAAACTCAAAAGGCATACATGTATGTTGAATTAAATGTCTGGAGTATTTTTTTGCGAAGTAGGTCAAAGATCAAGGACATGTAGACTGTTCACATAATGTTGGTATTGACAACAATCAGACTGCACATACTTAGTACTAAATAGCATAGACTTACCTCTTAAATATCAAAAGCCTAACCGGATACATTCATTATGAGCTGTTTAAAAAAAAGTAGTCAAAGGTCACATTCAATGGTCTCAAAGTTTGTAACTATGGTATTTTACAAAGTCATTGTGCGATGCAAAAAAATTGTGCAAAATATCAAATCCAAGGTGTGACAGACAGACACCGTGTAAAGTGATCCTAAGTGTCACTCTGCTTTGCAGGCGAGACAAAAATAGCAAGGATAATTTGTTTGTTTGTTGAAAAGTGATTGAAGGATCCTTAAAAGTAGAAATTTTTGTTCATTAATGTACTGTAATTTTTACCTGTATTTTAAAGGACTTGTTGGACATAACTTATGCACCATGGTTTTTGTGTTCCTTCTCACTGACATCTTCAGATTTTTAAGCCACCAACACTTAACATATGTTTTACATACACAGCATGCATTTAATATATCTGAAAATGAAAATTATAAAAACAAACTAGAGGTACTGTGAGCACAGAGCTCACAAAATGATACCCCCTGCCTCCCATGTTATCATAATGGCAAAGTCCATATTTTGCTATGGGAAACCTGAAATATGAGTTCGATCAAAAAGTGAAATAGGGGGTGCAAAATGGCACTATGTAACAAAGAATTTGGAAAAGTCTCATCAAATTTCATTCAGGGGTATAAGAGGAGATGCTGATAAGAAATGGGTACCCCAAAGTATATATTAATGGATGGTTGTACAGAAAGATGGACAGCTAGACGGACGGACACCCCCATCACTAAACACCCCCCACTTTTCAACTGGGGAGTATAATAATTATAATCAAATTAGTACAGAATACACAAGAATTATTAACTGATTCCGTTAATTTATACAGTTTCCATTTTAACCTCTTAACTGATCGAGGAAAAATAATCAAATTAATTTCACTTTACAACAGATGTAGATGTTCATTTAAATTATAAGTACTGTACGTGTAAATCTTAATGCATATTTTATAATTACCCATACAACAGAGGTGCAGAGGTTGTTTCAAAATGATGTCATATGAAGTTATCCAATGGGCATTTACAGTACCAGCAGATACTGCGTAACTAGAGTTGACTGGAATAAAAAAATATATAAATCATAGTGAAAATTTAAAAGTAAAGACCTGCCTTGACCCACCCACCTCCGGGGAGGGGGGGGGGGTTATTGAATTAAGAAATGAATGTAATATTTTTTTCTTTGACCGAAGTATCAAACAAAAATTTGGACAGAAAACGTCGTCAATGCGCGTAGGATGAAAAAGTTTCCATCCAAATTTTGGTTTGATACTTCGGTCAAAGAAAAAAATATTAGGCTACATTCATTTTTTCGATGAAAAAGTCATGGAAAAGTAAATTTACAAATTAAAAGGGTTAATCTAAAATGCAAAAATCATTTACGTGTACAATCACTTTGTCATAAAAAATGTTTATGATCATGATGATTCCTTTTTTATCAAAAGTGCACTCATATACGTACCTACTACCTACAGTGACTTTGTACAACTTTCTTCTCATCTACGCCTGGATGGACATGCAGAATTTCCTCGGTGTACAAAAACTTTAGGACATGTTCACTGGTAACAAGATTCTCAGATTTGCGCAAAAGTTATCGACTTTATCAGTGTAAAATAAAGTTACAGTCCCCAAGCCCGGACTGAGGACTCTCCTTTTCACAGCGTTCTGGCGTCTAGTTCTACTTTCACTTTGGAGACCAATGAAAAAAGTCCTTACAAAGGTTATCAAAATTAAGTCGAATATTACCCACAATGCAATTATTGCATATACATCACAAGATTATAGAACATACATCACAAGATTTTGCATATACATCACAAGATTATTGAACATACATCACAAGATTATCGAATATACATCACAAGATTTTGAATATACATCACAAGATATTGCACATACATCACAAGATTATAGAACATACATCACAAGACTTTGAATATACATAACAAGATTTTGCACATACATCACAAGATTATAGAACATACATCACAAGATTTTGAATATACATCACAAGATTTTGCACATACATCACAAGATTTTGAATATACATAACAAGATTTTGCACATACATCACAAGATTATAGAACATACATCACAAGATTTTGAATATACATCACAAGATTTTGCACATACATCACAAGATTATAGAACATACATCACAAGATTTTGAATATACATCACAAGATTTTGCACATACATCACAAGATTTTGAACATACATCACAAGATTTTGAATATACATCACAAGATTTTGAACATACATCACAAGATTTTGAATATACATCACAAGATTATCGAATAAAGCAACGTTTTACACGCCATAGCCAAGCGGGGCATCCCTTCGCAACAGGAAATATTTTTAGAATATGAACTATGTAGGGATTACTGCGAAATCAGACAACAATGTCTGTGTCGGTTTTCTAACACATAATTTGACTTCTATATAACAGACATGCAGTCTTTGTATTCATATACCATATCAGATATACCACAGGTGACCTCTGGTCTCCGTATTAGAGGTTCACATAAGGTGACCTCTGGTCTCCGTATTAGAGGTTCACATAAGGTGACCTCTGGTCTCCGTATTAGAGGTTCCCATTAGGTGACCTCTGGTATCCGTATTGTACCATAAATCGAAAATTTGTTTGGGGCCGTAAATTTGCGTAGATCCGTCATCAAGATCATAATTAAACAAATGATTGGAAATCATAAGCTTTTAAAAATGAACGAGGCAATAAGTATAGAATTATCTATCCTTAACAAAACAAAGCTTGCAGCTTTATTTACAAGAATGGCGAGTACGGGTTACGTGAAGATCTATATATGTCCGACACCCAGGTAAATGTCCTGGATGTATCCGTACCGCGACATGGACGGATACTTTTATTTGTAGCGTAAAACTCGTTAAGGGGCAAATCTTCTGGTAAATATTTTGGAAGATTGTGTTAAATTCCTCGGTCTTTACCGACATTTCACTCTAGGGATTTTAGGCCTTCATGGCAATTTGTTGACGTTTTCAGTGCACGCGTACAATAAGGGAGGAGCGAAGCAGTACTTTCGTGATGGGCCAGACAATAATATTTTTTTTCTTCAGAAAAGTAGTTTTTTAGAATCTGAAACCTGCAATTTTATGAAACGTAATGCTTTCAAAAAAAAAAAAATAAAATAAACAAAATTTGCATGAGCCATGCAAAAATTCTTTTTTTTTAATTGTTCCGTTTATGGTCACTGCGTCTCTTTAATTGTTCTTTTATCAGCTTTGCCGCTCTTTCAGCTGTCTGTCTCTTTGCTCTACGCACAGTAGGAATGTCACTACACGACTGTTGACTTTCTTATTTTCATCCAGTCACTATCATCTGACTCACTGCTAAATTCTGTTGGATATATAGAGTTAATCTAAAGGTTGATTTAAAGTCTTCTGGCTAGGTAGCATATCTTTCCAGATCTCATTGATCTCTAGTGACTCATTGTTAAATCACAGATTTTCCCAAACTTTCAGCTTCCTCAAGGAGATCTTCTTAAAATATAGAATTTAACTGGTCTATGATGTTAAATTCGCTTTCCTTGGTTGTTCTTTTGCAGACTTAGAAGAAACTCAACTTTCCACGTCTTCCAGAATGTACTTCAAAAGTCGTTAAACTTGATAAAGTTTTCAAAGATCTGACGTAGGGTACATATTCTGGATCCATGGGATAATTTAACTATTAACTATATCTGGACTTCCTATTTTTGGATTCAAAGTGAGAAAATGTGCTAGATTTACGACAACGTATTCTTATTTACTTTTCTCTCTGTACAACTACATGTATTTGTAATCCGGCTTCCTTTGCTAACTTTGTTCTTATCACGGAAACAAAGACATTATGATTTACATCTTGATTTAAGGTTTCTAGGTCGCGCATATCTCCAGTTCACCCAATTATCTGGAGACCGGAAGTGTTATTGAGTTCAGGTTTGATGTCAGTAGGATCTATGTAATGTTGTTTATTACAGATTTATTACAAGGCATTTTGTTCGTTTAATTTTGAGATAGAAACATCATATAAGCATAAGGTCGGAAGTAGTAGACTTTCAACTACTTCCAGTTTACTTTTGAAGTAGTTGAACTTCTCAATATCAGTAAGTCTTTTTTTTTTTTTTTTTTTTTTTTTTTTTTGCACTGAACTCCAAAGGAGTCCCATAATTCTTTCCACTTTATCAGCATTGAATCTGGTTCAAACTTTGGTAATTAATTGGGGTTTCCTTCTTTTTGCATATTTCTTGGGGTTTCCTTTTCTTTTTTTATTGCCTTTCACTGATTCAGTTGGTTTCCCACCACAGGCCTTTAACCGCATCAAGGACGACTATATCTGCCTTAACTAGCTAGGTTGTCAAATCCTCTTCAGCATCTTCTGTAGTCATTTCTTTTAGTTCCTTGTACAGAGTGCTTTCAAGTATGAGGTTTAAACCTCTTTCTCTTGATTTCAGATTTTGAAATCCCGGGTTTCGGCATCAAACAATGTGGCAAATCACAATCACACAGAAATCTTTCTTTGACAATTACTGTAAATCACTTTTTATTCGCAAGAACTTTATATTCGCGTAATTACGCGAAACAGTGTGCTTCATTGCTGCAAAATTTCATTCTCGCGTATTATGCCGTATATTAGTATTTCTAAAGATTATATAGAGCAATAACCAAAATTCATGAATATTCTGTCTCGCTAATTAAAGAGTCAATATCTATCTCGCTAAAATAAGGTATAGCGAAAATTCAATGATCTACAGCATTATGGAAATTCAACGCAAAAAATCCACAAGTGTAAGCAATCTCAATACCATATTGGCTAATATATTTTCGTGGAAAAAATTGATACGTACAATATATGAATAAATGGTAGCTCTACTTAATTCAATATTTCAAAGAAATGTGAACTTTAAAAATTACATCTTTGCAAATAAAATTCAGTTTCAGAGAATGAAATAAAACACGACGCATGCAAATTGTTTGTTATCAGAGACATATTATGTATAAAACATCAAACTGTCCAAAATTAAATTCACCAAATTCTGCAGTATTTACACCAAGAAGTTTATCTAGCACTTGGTTAAGCAACAAATCATCCAGATCATGAAACTGTGTTTTGATATCAAAACTTTAGATTAATACTAAGTACAAGGGTTCTACTCTAATTTTGTCCATATATCCACACAATATCACAGCCACATACGCACGCACATAAACAATGCTATATCTCCTCTGAAATTTGTTGCACGAGGGGATAAAAACAAAAACTGAAACACCTATCAAATTAACTGTAAGTAGATAAAGGTCGCACAACGACAACCTTTTGGCCAGTGTCAATATTTTAATCAAGTAAAAGATATGTATTATTCAAAGAACGGGAGG